CTGAGGCCAGATTTGAACTCATGAAAAGGAGTCTTCCTGACTCAAGGCCCAACACTCCACTGTGCCACTTAGCTGCTTTATTCGGGTTAGATCTCTAAATTGGCCTCAAACCTGTAAATTCAATGGGCTGGTCTAGTACATAGACAGTAATGTCAATGATTTTTTAAGTTCATTCTGAAACATGTTCCAAATGTCAAGAAAAAGAAAAGGAAATGAGAATTAAATTACTTTCTAAAAACGCATCACTTTTCCATATATTGGTCAGCTCAATTGTAATCACATCTATGTAAATGAGTCATTTAAGAGTGAACCTAAGGAATGTTACATGTGATAATGATAGCAGTAGTGATGGAAAGAATTGTCATTGGTAGGCTATTACAATAACTTCTCAGAGAAAAATGTGTTCCTCAGACTCAGGTAAAGAAAACTTGATTATAATGATACAAGTGTCACTGTGCTTATAACTGTAGCATTTTTCAATTGCAGGGTTTTTTTTTCTCCACACATATATAATACAGCAGCAGTGAAATCCTCTGAGGACTGTATTGCTCTTCCTGTCTATCTAACTCCACCAACGTATAAACAAATCCCTTCTCCCCTTCCAATCTTGCTCATGTTTTAAAAATGAAATTGGATTTTTTTATATTGGCAAACTATTTAAACTTAGCAAGTTGAAAACGGTGAGGAGTTATTATGTTTGCAGGACTTATTTGCATGTCAATAATACGCAGACATTTCAATGAGGTTTTTAAAGGTGGAATAAATGTTCACTCTGATGAAAAAATCATGTAGTCTGGATTTTCCACGGTAGGTTCCGATTGTTCTCTTTGACCACAATCTTACTTTTAAAGTTCAAAAGTTTCACGTTTAAATGCCAATGTTTGATAGTTATAGGGTAATGTAACATTTGAATTGAACAGAACCTTGTTAAGTCATTTTCAACTCTTTGTGACCCCATGGACCATAGCATGCCAATACTGTCTATGTTGTTTTCTTGGCAAAGATACTGGAGTAGTTTGCCATTTCCTTCTCCAGCAGATTAAGGTAAACAGGTTAAGTGACACAGTTAGTATCTGAGGTCAGATTTGAACTTAGGTCTTCCTGACTCCAGGCCACCTAGCTGCCTCAAAATAGAGCCTTATTCTAATCTGCTTATTTTACAAATGGAGAAACTGGGTATAATCACAGAGTCTTAGAGGTAGAATGTTAGCAATTATCTTCAAGAGTTTTTAATCTAAGGCCCATGAACTTATTCTTTATAAAAAATTGATAACAATGTCAATGTAATAGATTTCCTCTGTAATCCTAGTTTTTATGCATTAAAAACATTATTCTGAGAAGGGGTACCCAGGTTTCACCAGATAACCAAAGAGGTCCATGCCAACAAAAAATGATGGGAACCACTGATCAAACTTATCCAAACTTATGGATTTATTTTACAGATGAGGCCCAGAACAATAAATATATTACTACAAACTCCTTAAGGGCAAGAATAGTGACTTTTTTCTCTTTTTTTTCTTCTAAATCTTTAGTGTTTTGCACTTCCTAGGCATTTAATAAAGGTTTCCTGAATTGTGCAAGGCCTTTAGCTTGAGGTTATATACAATATGAACTTTTTCTGGTCCTTGATCGCAGAGATTTCTTCTCAAAATTTAATTGCTAGTTGTACAGTTACAGCTTGGTTATTACTTCGAAACAAAATCAGTGACATTTCTTCATGCAAAGAACCATATACTAGTTTCAGATTTCTCCTAATGACAAGAGTTTAAGATAGAGAATGATACTACATATTGAATATGTCATAATATCCAGGTATATCTTATTGAAATTTCATTTTTCCCTCCAATTGAAGCCTTAGATTATATAAACCCATGTTCTATACTAAGGTGCACATGCTCTTCTAAAATAAAGGACAGTAGTTAAATCACTCTGTGTGTGTGTGTGTGTGTGTGTGTGTACACATTTATGTGTTGGTGAGCGGCAGCAGTGAGTGGTTGGGCTGGCAGAGTATGAATTTGAATTTACTATTTCAGCAGCTCAGGCTCATCATTACCCTCAAATTTCTTCCCACTTATCTGTCTTTTCTCTCATCATAAGAGGGTGCTAAATGAGCCTTCCCTTTCTTCCCCAGTGGGATTGTCATGATTCTTTGGGAAAATGATTGTTTATTGTTCAAGGTCAGACAAAATGTCCTTGACCTTCAGTATCTCAGTGAAGGAAATTATAATAGCAGGTTTGAAAAATTATTCTGCTCACATACTTAACTGTTGATAAGAGAATGGGTTACCTTGTTATAGGTCAAATCTTGCTAGAGTTAACCCCAAGAGTCTGTCCAAAGTGCTTATCTTATACCAAGAATTTGTTATACTGAACATAATTTGAAATAAGTAAGCTACCAGCTAAGTCTTGGAAATCTCTTACCTAGAAATTACTTTCATGTATGATGACATCGTTAAGCAGAAAATACTAATGATCTGAGATATCTACTCACAAACAGAGCAGCCTACGTGATAAGAAGGAACAATATTATTATGGAGGTGATATACTAAAGGCTACTTAGAAACAAATGATAATTTCAAGAAGCAGATAACAAAGCTGATGTGGTGGAATGGTATTGAAGTGACAGAGATCTTCAGCCATCCAGACATCTGCTAAAGCTCTATCATTCTTCTATGACTAGAATAACTAATGAATCATTGATAACTTGCTTATGAAATGCATTTTTTAATAGGTGGAAGAAATGACAAAGCAAACTGCTATTCTGGACACAAATATGAACTATAACTTACAGAGGAAGTAGAAATGACAAGAAACTTGTTAAGAAGAGATCACTCACTGCATCTTAAGAGTTCTTCATACATGGACAAAAAGGAGAATGGTAAACACCATCTGATTCTGTGAGAATGCTTTCAAAGAATTCAGAAAAAAAGAGAGGAAGGATGTCATCCTATAAGATTCCATAATAAAAATGTCTCAATCAGGATGGGATGCTCTCAAGAATAAAATTCTGACAAAGAAAAGCCAGAAATTATTCGAATGAAGAAGAAAAGAGAAAACTGTCTAAAGAAACCCAAGGGGCTACACCAGGACCAACTCATATTTTTAAAAAGACATATATAAGAAGAATAACACAAGGGCAGGTCACTGATGACAGTAACAAAGAATGTTAAGAATACCAGAACCTAGAACAAGCTAAGTCTTGTGTTTAAGCCTAAGAATAAACAAAAAAAGTCTTTTTTTTTAGCTCTGGTAGGGACAAGAAGGTCAATAAAGAGACAAGATGATTGATCAAGGTCGATAGGGCAATGATAATTAGAAATAGAGAGATGTAATCTTATTGTCTTTTTTCCCCTCTACCACAAATGATCTTCAGGCTCTGATGTATAGAATAAAACTAGGTAACAGGGAATTGAGATCTAAGATGTGAGAGGTGATGAGAGAAAAACTAGCTGCCCTTAATAAGTTCAAGTTACTAGATACAGACAAACTATTTCCTATGGTAGGAAAAAAATGCTAGTATAATAGCTAAGCCATTGTCAGTGGTGTTTGAATAATCCTGAAGAAAAATTAATTAAAAACAATTTTTAAATCCTAAAGAAAGGATGAGGTGCTACAGGGAACTGGAAGGGATGGCTAACACACTGTAGAAGACAGGTGGGATCAAAACAATATTATTAGTCTAGAACTAATGTGCTAAGACAAATAAAAGTAAATTAAACGAGGTTAAGGACAGAGGCCTACATTTGGGTCAGAAAATCTCAAATGCAGGAGTAATGACTCGTCAAACTGTCTAGACCAGTGGTGTCAAATCAAATAGAACCAAGAACCTTAAAACCATGCATAAGAATGCCTGGGGGCCTTAGGTCGACTTAGAAAACCACATAATAATATTATCTATGTTTTGTCATATTTTTACTTATTTTGTTAAATATTTACCAAATGCATTTTAATCTGGTTTGGGCCACACTCAGGAGTATCATGGCTCACATGTATGATACCTCTAGTCCAGACAGCATTTCATGTAATAAAAGCCAAGGGGTTTTTATGGACTATAAGAGCTCTGGTTTAAAAGTCAGAAAAACTAACAAAAAGTTAAGAAGCCAGAAGGAGGAAACTCATAGCCCTTTGTTCTAGTCAAATTGGCAATGTTGTTTTCATTTTGGGGTGTTGTATTTTATGATGGGCATTGAGAAACCAAAGCATACCCAGAGGAGAGCAAGTATGGGAGGAAGCCTTGAAACATGAAAGGTTCGGTTAAAAGAACTTGGGATTGTTTATCTCAGAGAAGAGAAGACTTGGAGGGACCAAGCAGTCCTTCAAGTATAGGAAGGACTGTCATTTGAAAGCAAGGTTAGACTTCCACAACTTGATACAGAGGGCAGAACTAAGAGAAGTGAATGGGAATTCAAAAGAGGCAGATTTCATGTGGCTATAAGGGACACACTTACAAACAACTTAAGCTGTCCAAAATCAGAATGGGCTCCCCTGGAAAGGAATGAGTTCCTAAACATTAGAAATCCTTAAGCAAAGGGTAAAGGATGACTTGTTAGGAATGTCCCAATGAGATTCTATTTTGGGTATGGGTGGCATTAGATGACCTCTGGAGCCCCTTTCAACTCTGCGGTTCTATGATTCTAAGGAACAGCTACTAAGGTGTGCAGAAGCTGTCAAAGCCAAACTCCCCAGGCTTTATAGGCATGTGTGCAAGCTTAATATTGACATGTGTGTCTGGCATCTCTCCATGAAGGAACTAATCATCACGTCTGTCAGGAAGGTAACTCCAGTAGCCTCTTGATATTACAAAGATCAGCACCAAATACCTCCCCTATGTATCTAACAAAAATCTTCCAATCCCGGCTAAATACAAAATAAACCTATTGCAGGGAGGGCATGAAAGGGGGAAAAGATGATATTTTGAGTGTCACAGGGGGGGAGTGGTGTTCTAGCCCTACTAGAAGGTGGGTGTCACCAGTTAATAGAAGGTACAGATCAAAACTTACTTGGCTTCCAAGGCCAGGGCGATGATGCCGGCAGCCATAGGGGCTGAGGCTGATGTTCCTGTATGGTTGTCCGTGCAACGCTGCCTCAGGTCTGTGGTGATCTGGAAAAAAAGGAAAAGTGAAACCTTAGGATGCAGCTGGGAAAGCCCCAAAATGGCAAAAGCAAACTGTCTTCTGTGGCTAATAAGAGTCATATGTGAGAGAAGAAATAAAACCTTGAATGAAGGAAGAAATGCCACCATAAATGGGGGGAGAGAAGAGAAATGGAAAGGATGAGGAGGGAAAGCTTTGAAAATACTAGTCTGATGGTTTTCAAAAGAATTGTAAATAATTTACATTCTTGTGGAAAATTGCATCAAATCACTAATAAGAAAAATGAAAATCAAAATAACTAACACTTAGCACAGTGTTTGATGGTAAGTGCTTAATGAATGCTGGTTGACTGAGTTTTCACCTAACACTTAGAAAAACTGGCAAAGATGAAAGACAAAGAATGGAAATAATCAAGGTTGGAGGGATTATAGGAATACAACCACACTAATACAGAGTTAGTGGATCTATGAATTGGTCCAAACATTAGGGAAAGAAATTAGGAATTGTACTTTTTTTTAGTAACTAAAATGAAATTGTCCACATCCCAGAGATTCCATTGCTATGTATATAACCCTAAAGAAATCGAAGACAAAAAAAGGAGAAGATTCTAGCAGAACTTTTGTGGTAGCAAAGAACTAGATACAAAGTAAGTAGCCATCAATTTGATTGTACATGAATGTTTTACACCATTATTGTACTATCAGAAATAAGTTAGAGACATGATTTCTGTGCTGCTTAATTTTACTGAACTTTTTTCCTCTTTCTTTTCTTAAAAATCTTTTTTAGAAAGGATAGATTGCTAGATGGGGGGCAGGGACATATTCAGAAATGAGTTTGATATAAAAACAAGAGATATCAATAACATTTTTAAAATAAGAGAAAAAATAAAATAAAAAAACACTGCTTTTAATCCATTGCTTCAAATGCTTCCACAGCCAACCTATCTCCAAAAATTTATTCATTTGAGATGCACCTGTAAAGTGAAGGATCTGAAAATTGTGCTTAAAAATGGATCATCCATCTGTTGAAACAAAAATAAATACCAAGAGAAGCTTAGAAATAATTTTATTCACACCCACACATTTTAGTCATAATTATAAGTGTGCAGTAGGATACCTGCATTTGTGCGTGTATGTGTGTGTGTGTGTGTGTGTGTGTGAGAGAGAGAGAGAGAGAGAGAGAGAGAGAGAGAGAGAGAGAGAGAGAAAGGAAAGAGAATGAGAATTATTATTAGAATAGAATTCAGTGATTCATGGCAATGTATGAACAAAGATCCCCAAAGACTTAAAAGAGCAATATAAACAATCTACAAATTAGCCTACATATTACACAAATTCATGGCATTATTATGTATACTTGTCATTATGAGTAGATTTGGCATTGCTCTATTTTCCTTGTAAAAATATAGGAACTAGATAAATACTGTCTGACCATTGTGAATCTAGCTCGATGTAGGAATGACTGAACACCAGGGCCATCCAATAAGTGTTCAGTGGTTTGTGAGATGAGTTAGTGATCTCATTCTAGTTTCTAGTGGAAATCAGTAATGCAATTGGCTCCTTTCTTGGCCAACACAGCAGAAAGGTGAAGGCGGGTGGCAGAAAAACAATGACCCTTCTCTCTAATCTCTACATGTGGTCCCTCCAAGAGAAGCTTGAAGATTAATGGGATTCAGTTTGTAAAGTGCACTGAGCTACCCAGAAGAAAAGTACTACATAAATCCCTAATAAACTAGCTGTGGAATTTCTTTTAAGTCCTACTGGAAACAAATAGGATCTTTCAAAGGGCAGGATCCAAAGATGTCAGAACCAATTGAGAAGACCATGTGCATATGCATGAAACTGGTGATTCTTTACTAAAATCATAGGATTCTGTTGGAGCTGGAAGGGCCCTTTGAGGTCATCCAGTTAAACACTCATTTTATAGATTTTATAGTCAGTATCACCAATTTGCAGGACCATTCTTATTTTCATGTATTCTTTCTTTCTAGATTTCCCTTTTCTCCCTTCCTTCTCTTTTATGCACTATAATCCACCTGGTTTTCTTGCCTCATAATTATACATTTAGAGAGGCACTGAATACAGATTATGAAGAAGAAGAGAAGATGAAGAGTGGGAAGGACTATCAAAATTTATAGCCTGGCCACTAATGACCAAGCCTGCATTATGGTCTAATCAATATTCAGTAGCAAAAGACACTGAAAATACTTGAGAAGAAAGGGAAATATGTATATGTGTGTGTGTGTGTATATATATATATATATACACACACATATATATCTTATACTAAGTGTTTATCTAGGGACCACATTTTTGGTGGGATTACATTTAGAAAGCTCAACCTTATCAGAATTGGTTTTAAAACAGATGAGTCTATCTTATGTGAATGCATTCATTCTAGAAAGCAAAGAAGCACTAGTTATGGGGTTCTTGCACCAGTGACCAATGTCTTTTATGGTCCTTACATATGTTGAAGTCCAGAGAGGTTTACCTACATTCTTCTAAACTGACTTCATTCCTACAGATTTGTCTCTTTTATCAAGTCTTATGGTTCTGCCATTCTCTCCAGCAGCATCAGAAAAGACTGAAGATTTTGCAGGATGTTTTCCCACTGGGCACTCCCTTTGAGTGCCTTAGCTGTGCTCTCAGTCCTCAGAAACACAGTCCCCCCCCCCCAAAACCCCCCACTATAGCAAGAGTATATGCAAAATTTATGAACATATCAAATAACCACCTGTGGCCATCACAAGACCATGGCTTCACATTTCATAATGTCAAGTCCCAAATGATAATTTACCTTTTACCATTCAACTCTCATTTTGTGTACCTATCACTCACATTTATAAATTTAGGCATATCTTTTAGTAAATCTGAAACATATGGCTACATTATCTATCTATCTATCTATACATCTATCTGTCTGTCTGTCTGCCTATCTATTTTTGTATCATCTAAAAAAAGTCATCTTTACATTTTTACCCTGGAAAGTAATCATAAATATGTACCTGTTGTATTCTAAAACCTATCCTCATTTTATTTTTTCTTTCAGCAAGTCTTCCTCAAGGAAACTTTAGCTCATTCTCTACATTCCCCCACCCCTCCAGGGGGAAAAAAGACAAAGAAGACATGCTCATTCGGTTCTCTTCTTGTTTCAAGTGGAAATTCCTGCAGGGCTATTTCAAAAGAAAGTTACTGACGGTGGTGAAGATGTTTAGGTGTAAATTACCGGAAAGATCTAAGGCAGGGTTTTCATCTTTAAAGGAGCACTGCCCCATAGGAGAACTCTTGGGTCTTTCCTTAGAAAGAAAAGGCATAATAAGACCACCAAGGAACAAGCAAATTTCAAGAAGAAAAATGACATTCCCAATTCTGGGACCACATGGGGGCAACCTCATTAATCACAATACATGCATAGAGAACCTGATGGAGTCACAAAACATGAGTTAAAAGGATGTTTAGCATTCAGCTGTCAGTTGGCCCCATGGGGGCAGGGAGCAGGGAGAATCTATGTGCATCACCCAGATCAGGATACAAAGCAAATTACAATACTATTTTTAAGACTATCCAAAAGTATATGGGTCTTGACTTCAGGCCAGGCTGCATTTTTTTTTTGGTGAAATGTAAATTCCTTGATTTCACCACTCAAAATGGAATTTTCACCAGTGGGCCTCTTACATGACCTATGAAAATCTTATTTGTGCCCCTCTGAGTGAAATAAACAGGGAATGGTACTAGGCTCCTGATTAAAAGTTGTCCCAGCCATTTCTAGTAATAGAACCAGATGATTGTCCATAGTAAATTCAGCTAAAGATGTAGAGAAATGGTTGGTTGGTGAATTCGTATTAAACAATTACCTTCCTTTGGAACCTTATTGGGGTCAGGAACAGAGGGTTGGGGAAAGGGTGCCTCTTTGTCTTTCTATGTTTAGAACAGAAGTTCTTAATCTATGGTTTGTGAACTTGATTAAAAATATTTTAAGAATTTCATTTCAACGTTACTGATTTCTTTTATAATTCTATGTATTTTAATTTATACATTTAAGGACACTATTTTGAAAAAGAGTCCATTGACTTCACCAGAATGTCAAAAGGGTCCATGTCTCTCACATACCCCCTCCCCCACCACTCCACCCCCATAAAGAAAAAGTTTAAGAATCTTTCATTAATTAAATGAGAATGATCAGGTGTGGAAGATCAAAATAGTGTTTCCACTAAGAATAACTTCTGAGGTGATCATCATAATATTTCTCCTTTCATTATCTGAGGCCTTAGCAGTGATTAGAACATTTTTACTCAGTGATTATACTTCCTAATGGTAATTCAGCTCAACTGACTCATCCATTCAAATCTCTCCTTGCTTTTGATTCCCTGACATTACATGATCACACCAACTCCCATATTTTGAGGAGGCTGTATAGTATCATACCAGCTAAAGGAGCAGCTGAACACAGGGAAATTTTATTTTTTAAGTAGCAAATGATATCAGAGGCGGCTAAGCCAAATCAATTTTTACTATCAATTTTTATCTCTGTTTTATTAAACATTGGCCAAGAAAAGTTGTTCCAGATCCCTTGTGAGGGCTAATGGTAGAAATGAAAACCTAAATGTATTAATGAATAAAATATGTGGTGTTGGTTTATTTAGCACAACAGGATTAAAAAAAAAATAAGATGGAAGACCATTTCATTTTTTGATGCCCACAGCAATCAGAGGCTGAAACAAAAATCAAACTTCTTCTGGCATAAATTAAACTTACTTCAAAGCTGTCTTGAAGGAGTAGTCTTTACACAATTGGCATGGCAGCCCCAATCTATGACTGAAATGTCTAAAAGGTGCCCATGAGTTTCTAAATAGGACTATGTGAGTTTAGCTTACACAAAGGTTGTTCATCACAAATGAATCTCCCATCTTTTTCCATGTCCAGAATTTGGAAAGATAATTAAATAGGTAAAATTGCATTTTAATTAATACCATTATAAAGGAGGACTCTGTAATATGTTTGGCAAATGG